ACAAGGCGATAACAGGGGGAGGAGCCTAATAAGTCCACTTTTTTCCGAAGATGTCTACAGCCTCTCTATTTTTCTTGCTCGCTTCGCTCGCAAACCTCATCCCTCACCCTCGAGTGCTTCGCTCGCTCATTCTTTCGCGTGCGTAAATATAGAGAGGCTGTGAACAGTCTAGAAATTTGTTGTTTAACTTGTTAGGTGTAACCACAAGTGGTCAAACTACTGTAATGTGTATTCCAAAATAAAAAAAAATAAACAGATGCAAGTTTTTACTAGTAACGAATTTGAGAGATTTTAGGTCCTTTCCTCCTTTAGGGTAGGTTTATACATCCCTGCACGCTCATCTCTCTGAATATCGCCTCTAAAAAACTAACAGTCAAATTTCCCTTAAGCGGAAACCCTTTAGACCAGAGAAACTGTCCACTTCGAAGAGGCATCAGCTTACATGAGGTTGAAACTGTAGCGTTTGTATGTGGCTGTGAGAATGATCAGTACTGTCCTTCTGTCAGCGAGTGTCAAGGAGTTACGAAAACATTCGGATTATTTCTGTCATACAAGCCCCTGCCTATTCTTGCTGTATCTTTAGTGGAAAAGCGGAAGTGGATTCTGAATTTCTTGGAACTCGTTATTCCATGCTTATATCAACAAACTGTGAATTGTGAATTGCGACATAACAGAAACCTCTTCAGTTTTTGCTCACAGGTATTAATTGTGTCGTAAAGAATGGCTTACGAAAACGCAAATGACTATGATTACAGACTGGTCAATGATGAAACTGGTCTTAAGGATGCGATCTCTGAGCTCAAAGGGAAAATAGCTGAACGGAACACCCTTTTAGCCGTCGATTGTGAGGGGGATTCGTTGAGCAGGAAGGGAGCGCTTACCATCATCACAGTAGCAACTGAGGAGAAAGCCTACATATTCGATGTGTTGAAATTAGGACAACTCGTATTCAGCAGTGGACTTGGTGAAATTCTTGAAGACAAATCTCGTGAGAAGTTGACGTTTGATTGCCGACAAGATTCCGACGCGCTTTGGCATCAGTTTAAGGTCAAACTAAGCGGAGTCTTGGATCTTCAGCTGCTTGAAGTCATCTATCGCCGAGAAAACCCCACAGCCGACTCCACAGTTAATACTCCTGGGTCAGTTTCCACCACGAACAAACGCGGTGGTCGTGGTGGCCGTCGCAACCGCCGCAGCCAGAAAACAGATGAAGTAGAGAAGATAAATGGCTTAAGTCGCTGCATCGAGTTGTACCTCCAGGATGAAAAGTTGACCAAAATAAAGGACAAAGGGAAAGAGCTGTTAAAGGAAGACAACGAAGTGTGGACAAAGAGACCCCTGACGGATGATCTTATCCAGTACTGTATTGTGGATACCATGGCGATGTTCAGGTTGTACAACAAGATGAAGGATGTCAATGGTGGAGAACAGGCTCGTCTGCGAGTTGCATCCGAGAAGTATGTTGATCTGTATCGTGAAAAGAGAGAAAGGTCTTTCGATGACTATGAAACAAACGCGTATCTACCTCTTGACATCATCCCTGATAAAGGAACTCTAGATTTTCCGGCTGCTAACACTGAATGTACGCGCTGCCATCGACGATTTCCACGAGAAGAATTCAGTGCAACACAGCTGAGGAAAGGAGAACAGAAATGCAGGGTGTGTAAGGAAATCAAGCGCCTGGAGGATGTACAAAGAAACAGAGGACGTGCTGCCCGAGATGATGATGATGATGATTGTGTTTATATTCCTGAAGGCATGTCTGATTACGCGTGGGTTAATGGCCATGAACCTTGGGAGGACTCAGGCTACTCTGATTATTGGTGAAGCCTCATGACTTCAGTGATTGCAAAGACATTTATAAGACTAAATTGAGACGAACGTAAGAGTGTGAATCATGCTTTTGTTTCCATTTTTACCAAGTTATACCATTTACTAATACCAATATTTGTTTTCTTTGTTTCAGTGGCATGCCTGTAAAGTAGCTAAGCTTAGTTCTTGTATAGCTAAGTGCATGTCCACTATAAATAAGATGTACATTTACTTTACATTTAAAGTTAAACTTATCTGCACGGAGAGAGTGTTTTAACACTATTTAAAACAAGTATTAAAAAGCAATAGCAAGCAAGTAGATTTAGCAATTAAGCAGATTAAATTCAAACAGATGTTTTAAACTTCACTCTTTTAAAAGTCCATTATTATTATTACTAGTAGCGATCAAAGTTAGAGCAGTGCGTTCAAGCGCGTACTTTGCATGTTTGGTCTACTTTGGTGGCGTTCGACTGGCTCGATAGAAAACTAAGTGTAATCGAATGACAGATAACGGTCTGCACGTGAAGTTAAACCCTGCGGTAAAAGTGTTTTTAATTAATTAGGTATTAACTTGTACTGAACAAAATATTTTCCAGGAAAGGCATGTGAACTGCTGGCGACACTTAGAATTCAATTTCAGATCGCCAACGCTTGAAACAATTAAACTTATTTCTTGAGAAAATAAAGTTTTGACAAGCGACCCCGCAAGACAGCGCGTCCCCAAATGTTTTGAAATTTGTTTACATTGCTCGAATTTACAACTTGTTTTCACAAATGACAAAGGTACCATTCTGACCAGAAAACACGGCCTTTTGGCGAGTTACACAACACGGAAAGTTTGTTTTCTGACAACCAGTTATAGCTACAACAAATTTGCTGAGCTACAAATCGGAAAATTTATTTTCTGACCACAGATCTGAGGGTCATCATGGCCATTTGCCGAGCTACACGGAACATTTGATTTCTTACCACAACTCATGGCCATTTGCCGTCGCTGAGCTACAAAACATTCTTTCCTGATAACGCAGGCTTTAGTTTCTTGTTGTCGAAGGCTTGCGGTTCAAAATACATGCCGAAATCATACACACTTCGAAACGACATGATTCTTGGCTTGCACCGTTACGCAATCCTGACGTAATAAAAAAATTATTCGGAAACTATTCAGTGGATAAAGTCAAAACATTGTGATGTTATAGGAGATTGATAAAGAAGACACTTCTCCAAGTTTCAAGGCTGAGCATTTTCCCAAACCTCACATATTCGTCGAAATATTTTGCACAAATTTACTGACCCCAGTATTGAGCAGCCATGTTGGTGTACCTCCGTGGTACACCAACATGGCGGCCGGAAAATAGTGAACCTCTGGAACTTACTTTCGCTATCTAGGCGACTGATTATCTGTACTGAACAAACAAGCGTTTACATAAAAACTTTTCACAATACTTTAACTCCTGAATAGGCTTAAAATCACGAGCTAAGTAAATATTTTTCGACAAACTTGTTCGTAGCTTTGTCACGCACCGCCATATAAACATGCGCTGGTTTCCAGACGAAGCAAGCCACTGAGTTGAAAAGTTGTAAAGAGATATAAATTTAGCACCCCTTATGCCTGTTGAGGATAAAAAATGTATTAGCTATTATTATCATCATCATCATCATCATCATCATCATCAT